CACCAATCCAAAAGAACCTATGCACCCCAATGTTCATAGCAGCACAATTTACAATAGCCAAGTGCTGGGAGCAACCTAAGTGCCCATCAGTTTATGAATCGATCAAAAAACTATGGTACATTTACACAATGGAATTCTATGCAGTAGAAAGAAAGAAGGAGCTCCTACCCTTTGCAACAGCATGGATGGATCTGGAAAGCATTATGCTGAGTAAAATAAGCCAGGCAGTGAAAGACAAATACCATATGATCTCACCTTTAACAGGAACCTAAACAACAAAACAAACAAAGAAGCAAAATGTAAACAAAGACATTGAAATTAAGAACAAACTGACAGTAACCAGAGGAGAGAGGGGAGAGGGAGAGGATAATGGGGTAAAAGGGTGAAAGGTTTACAGGAACAACTATAAAGGACACACGGACAAAAACAAGGGGGGTGGAAACAGGGGAGGGAGGTGGGGATGGCTGGGACGGTAGAGAGGGGTGGGGGGAAAAGGCAGAAAACTGTACTTGAACAATAGTAAAATTCAAAAGTATTTAATAAAAAAAGAGAGAGAAAGAAAGTCATGATACATGGTTTGGTTTATGTGGAATCTGAAATAATTTCCAATATGAATATCCTAATAACATAACCTCAAAATAAATAATGCAAAAATTGCAAATTATACAAAGATTTTAAAATATGATTATAGTGAAAGATAAGCAAATATCTCTCAGTAATTGATAGTTCACAAGATAAGAAATCAATAAGACATAATATTTGAATAACATATTAGTATGTTTCATTAAGTACACATACAGAACCCTGCTCTCAACAATGCTTCCATATTTTTTTCAAAAATAAATAGAACTTTTTATGCAAAGTTAAATTATTATAGGCTGCAAGGTAAGTTTCTGTATGTTGAACCATAGAAAAGTGCTATTTGTAAATTGAAAACAGTTGAAAACCACCAATTACATATTATTCGATCTAATACAGATTTCAAATACTTTATAGATTAAAATTTCTCACAACAACCCAATTTAATGGGAACTCAGTACCCTCTTTCACAAAATTTCAATCCCCATATATTTGAAGTGTTTAAAATACCTCTCTAAGTAACTGAAGGGTCAAAGAAGAAATTATAATGAAAATTGTAAAACTTAGAAATAAACATTGATTATTCTTCCTATCAAAACTGTGGGACCTAGCAAAATTGATGTGTAAAAGAAAGAAAACATATAGCCTTAAATGCTAATTTGTAAAAAAATCTAAATATTAGTGACTTACCTCTCCAATTTAAGTAGTTAGAAAAATTGCAAAATTAGCCTCAAAAAGTAAAAAAATAATGAAAAGCAGAAAGTGGTGAAACAGAAAAATTATATAGTGAAGAATAACAAAGCCAAAAGTTAGTTGTTTTTAACAAACCTGATAAACTAGTAGGCAAGCCTGATCAAAAGACAGATGTAGCACCCTGGCCGGGTGGTTCAGTAGGTTGCAGCATCATCTCATACACCAAGATTGCAGGTTTGATCCCCGGTCAGGGAATCCATCGATGTTTGTCTCACTCTGATGTCTCTCCCTCTTCCCCCCCTTCCCAACCCCCGCTTCCTCTCTCTCTAAAGTCAATAAACATATCCTTGGATGAGGATTAAAAAAACAAAAACAGAAGTAGAATGAGAGAGAGAAAGAGAGAGAGAGAGAGATGAAGAGGTCGCAGATACATATAATTAGAATGAAATACAACTATAGATAGAGTAAGGCTTAAAAGATTTAGAAGACAATATTATTAATAACTTTATACAGACAAATTGGAAAGCAAGTGAAATGAACAAATTCTACAATAATTTAAATTCTTTAAACAAACTAAAATAAACAAACAAGCACAAGAACAACAACACCCCAGAAGCTGAACATTTCTACAGCTACTGAAGAAAATGAATTAACCATTTGGAAAAAAATCTCACCAAGGCCTGGCTGGTGTAGCTCAGTGGATTGAGTGCAGGCTGCAAACCAAAGCATCGCAGGTTTGATTCCCAGTCAGGGCACATGCCTGGGTTGCAGGCCACGGCCCCCAGCAACCACACATTGATGTTTCTCTTTCTCTTTCTCTCTCTCTCCTCTCTCTCTCTCTCTCTCTCTTTCTCTCTCCCTTCCCTCTCTAAAAATAAATAAATAAAATCTTTAAAAAAAAATCTCAGCAAGAAAATACCCAGCCCAAATAGTTTTATAGGAGAGAAGAGGAATAAACCTTGATCCCCAGTTCGTTTTGTGAAGCTAGTACAACCTTAATGCCAAACCAGACAAAGGCAATACAAGAAAGGGAAATTACAGATCAATCTCACTCATGATAATAAATACAAAATGTACTACATCACATAATACCAAACTGAATCCAGTAACATTTTTTAAAGGTTTCTGTCATAAACACATGGTTAGTTGAACATGAGAAAAATCTGTTCATTTCATTTACTAAATTAAAGAGTAAAGGAGGAAAATGGTGTGATCATTTGAATAGATGGAGAAAAAGTATTCAGTAACATTCAACAATTCATGAGAGAAACTAATAATATGCCAGAAATAGAAGAGAACATCCCGTAAGTGATAAAGAATGCCTATAAAAAACCTAGAGCCAGCATCACACTCAATCATGAAAGAGTAAAAGCATTCTCTATGAAATCAGTAAGTCTGCAAAGCTGTTATCTCCATTTCCAACGGTTACTGGAAGTTCATTCAGTTTGTATGAGCACATGGACAGACACACAGAAACACACACATACGTATATAGGATTTGCAATAAGGAAGTAAAATTCCATTACTCTATTATTTATATCAATTGTCTTCATGGAAAACCTCAGAGAATCAATACATTTATAAACTAGTTGGAATTAAAAAGTTTAGAAAGTTTTTTTATATAAGAGCACTACACAAAATCCAATTACATTTGTATAATCCAGCAATAACGTTAGAAAAGGTACATTTTTTTTAAAGATACCATTTACAACCCTGGCTGGTGTGGCTCAGTTTGTTCAAGCACTGTCCTGTAAACTGAAAGATGGTGGGTTCAATTCCCAGTCAGGGCACATACCAGGTTGTGGGTTCAGTCCCAGGAAGGGCACGCAGTGGAGGCAACCGATCAATGTTTCTCTCTCACATTGAAGTCTCTCTCTCCCTTCCCCTCCCTCTAAAATCAGTAAGTTTGTCCTCGGGTGAGGATAAAAAAAAGATACCACTTACAGTAACTAAAAATAAGTTGAATTACAATTAAGTAATAAAGAACTATAATACTTCCAACAAAAGATATGTAAGACCTTTATGAAAAAGCAATATTTTATTAAAAGATTAAAGATCTAAATAAATATGGAAAAGTACCATGTGTGTGGATGAGAAAATTATCTTAAGGGCATCAATTCCCCTCCAGATTCAATCTATTGAACTGACACAATTCCCTTCACAATCCCATCAAGGTTTCTCAAAAAACTTGAAAAGCTGATATTAATATTTATATGGAAAAGAAGTGGACAATAGCCAAGTTACTACTGTAGAAGAAAAATGGATGGATGAGTAGGGGGCTGAGAAGCTTGTCCTACCAGATATCAAAATTATTTTAAAGTTATGATTATGAAGACCATAGATGTGGCATTGGAATAAAGAGTTTGGAAAGAAACCCACGCATATATAGAAAACTGATATACCGTAGAAATGGCATTTGAGACTAGTGGGGATGGGATTAATTATTCAAGAAATGTAAGGACTTTTAGATAAAATAAAATTGTATATCTTGTGTCATACACAAAATACCAGATAAATGAATAATTTAAATGTGAAAGCAAAAACATTTAAACTTTTAGAATATATAGAAATATATTAATGCTCTAAGGATACATATAACTAACAAGGAATATCCAGGATATATGTATAAAGAACTCCCATGAATCAATAAGAAAAATATAAACCACCCAATAGAAAATACACAAGTATTTTTTTAAAGGCATCTTAAATAAGAGAAAAGAAATGGCTCATAAACACATGAAAAGACACTCAACCTCTTTGGTAATTAGGGAATACAAATTAAAAGGAAAATAAGATCCCCAAGTGTCAGCTAGCATATGGAGCAATGGGAAATCCCACAGCCTGCTGGTGGAAGCTGATTGGTTGCTACTATTCTGTAAACATGTTGCCGTCAGTAAAGCAGAACATGCCCATGCTCCTAGAAATAGACCCTCGAGAAACTCTTGCATATATGTACCAGAAGACATGTACAAGAATGTATTCTCTTACTTGGCCAAAATTAAAAATTAACTATGAAATGTTTCATTAAAACTCACATAATACATTTGTCATCCAAAATTAATATTTAAGGAGCACATAAATATTCTTTTTATGAACTTCTTATTCATTAATTGCTAAGTTCATTAATTAATATCAGTAATATCCTTTTGTAAATGCAGAGATGAAACATACCTGGCAGGCCAATTTCAGGTATAGCACGAATGACTTTGTTCACACTGACAGGCATATGCACTTTAATCATCAAAGACTGTATCAAGCATTTATGAAAGAAAATCCGTTTTGAAGATTATTTGAATTTAACCAGGATTAAAAGTAAGTAAAACTTTTATCCTTATAATCACTGAGTGAAGGAACTTTGATTTTAATACCTTACTTAATCAGAAAATATACAGAGGGAGACAATGAGAGTATGGAGAGCCTGATGTCCTGCGGTCTTCCTTAATAACCACCCATTTTCAAGAGCCTATAATCTGCTCAACGGGAAGCATTCTACCAAGGATCTTAATCAGATTCTGAGAAAATTCACTCTCAGAATAAACAATATGCCATAAAGCCAAAACAATGTAGGTATTAGCAGCTATACAAAATGTTAGCTCTACCTGATGAGTCATTTCTAAAGTGATGAAAGTCTGTCTTTGAAGTGGTTTCTATTCAAGCTGAAAATATATAAAGGTAGGAATCATTTACAAAGCAGCTTGAGAAATCTTCCTTTTATACATCCTGGTTTGACTCTATGCAAACATCGGACTGATGGCAAAAATGAGTCTCTCTTCCTACATATTAATACTAACTTTTTCTTTGCTTTCTCAAGGCATTAAACTTTCAGCATCCAAGTCCATAAGAAACTTAGAAGATGACATGGTATTTAACACACTGAGGCTGGGGAAAGCCTTTCAGAAGGAAGATACTGCAGAAAAATCAGTCGTTGCTCCTTCCCTGGAAGAATACAAAAATGAGGAGAGCAGTTTCCTGAATGATGAGGAAAACAAAAATTCGAAGGTAAGTGGCAATAGGACTTGTCTTTTATTTCAATGGATATTTGAATGATTTTTATGAATATTTTGAAATTGATACTTTATTTTACAAACAGAAGTAGATGCAAATAGTCACAATATGCATTCGGACAACTGATGAAATTTTATACATACCAGACTGTTCTTTCATCCTGAACAACTCTTACCCGAAAGGTTTATTTCCATAAAAACTTGCATCTAACATACTGCATCTTTGAATTAATCAACAAGAATATTATGCAACTGTATTATATTACCACTCCCAATAAGACAGCTAAAATGCAAATCAACTTTTTCTTTACAGAACTCAGGCTTCAAACATAATTTCTTAAATCATGGTCTGCCACTGAATCTGGCTATAAAACCTTATCTTGCACTAAAAGGATCTGTAGCTTTTCCACCTGAGAATGGAGTTCAGAATGCTGAATCAACACCAGAAAAGAGAGAGATTGGGGATGAAGAAAACACAGCTAAATTTCCTATAGGAAGGAGAGATTTTGACAGTGAGTAGTCCTTTAAAATTCAATTCCTATATCTTAGTACCATAAAATAGAACTCTGAGTTTAACTAAACTTAGATCCAATCATCTCAAAATTAAATAAGACCATGGTTCAACTACATCTGATATTAAATGACCCCTGCAAAATACATGCAATTAAAAAGCATTTAGGTATTATAATTTTGATTTACATAGAATTAGCTATACTAGATCTAATGTTTTCATTTCTAATAAATTTTGTGTGATGATAGCAGTCCTGTAAACAATTTAAACTTTTTTTTTTCTTTCAGTGCTCAGGTGTATGCTGGGAAGAGTCTATCGACCATGTTGGCAAGTCTAATACCTGTTGGGCCACATCATCATTTCCGAAGAAAACAAAATCATTTAATTGCCTGTGGATGAGAAGCCCTTAATGTTACTGTGACTTATATTATTTTAAATGTCTGATTTAAAAGAAAGTAATATTAAGAGATATCGGTGACCTACATGATATGCTTTATCTGTGCATTAAACTTGGTGAATATTCTGCATTATTATGACTTAGTAGTATTTTTTTAAACAGTGTTTCACATACTAACCTCACGCACACTGCACACCAAAATAAATAAAGCATCATAATTTACACCCTGATCTCTTGAAAATTAAGTAAATGTCTTTGAATGGTTTTATGTATACATAAATCTAAAGCACATAAAAGATGATTCATAGTCTAAAAAACTGAGTTAACTTTGTCTGGCCAGTAATCAATTTGTCCTTGGCAGTACACTTGTTGCTTTTTGCTACTCTGGCTAGTTTGCCATCCAATTTATTCTGCAAATCGTTTGATGTCTTAGGTATCTTAACATTTTTATGTCGGGGTGGTTCATTTCCATTATCACAGAGAATGTTTTCATCATCTAAATCCACCTGTTTCCTTTTTGAGCTTTTATTTCCTGTCTGACTACTTGATTTTCTCTCTACTTTTGCATTTTTACTTCTGTCCAGATGAACATTTCCAGCACTTGTTCCAATTGTTGGTCTTCCAACAGATGAATTTACACTTTCTGTTATGCAAGATGAAAAAAGGAAAGGAATTATATAATACTTAGTATTATTAGATATGAGAATTTTACAATAAACTTTAAAAAGGCTAAAGAATATTAAAAATTTATGATTTGCAATGACATACTACTATAAATTACATGATTAACAAATACAACTATAGTCCTGGCTGGTGTGGCTCAGTAGATTGAGTGCCGGCCTGTGAACCAAAGGATCGCAGGTTCAATTCCCAGTCAGAGGGCAGGCCTGGGTTGCAGGCCAGGTCCCCAGTAGGGGGCACATGAGAGGCAACCACACACTGATGGGTCCCTCTCTTTCTCCCTCCCTTCCCCTTTCTTTAAAAATAAATAAATAAACAAACAAACAAACAAACAGAAATTTTAAAAACAAATACAACTATATTATTACCATATTACTTTTCATTTCACCATTTCATTTTTCATCCCTACAAATATCTGCTTTGTTTTAATGCAGGACACATAATCCTTAAATGCTACAAGTTATTCTTTAAATACATTTAATCAAATCAAACTGTCCTATAAATTTGTATTTAGAGTTCATCTCTTAAACAAACCCGTCTTTAAAAATATACACCATTATGCTTCACATTTTACACTTTGTAAAAAAAAAATCTAGTTTTACTTAAGTTAAAACCAATTAGTACACTGGGATTAAGGTGTTATTTAATTGCTCCAATAAGGCCAATTACCAGAAAGGTCATTTTCCATGTGAAGGACACGGGATGGCTTTGATGTGGAGTTAACGTTATTCCATGTATTCCTGCTTATCAGGCCGTCGTCTTTATACGTGCAAGAAAACTGGGATCTAATTAAGGTTTGCTTCATCTGGCAATGGGAAGAAAGAAGAAAATAAGCGGTTTATTCTTTATTTTTATTAAATTTTTTTCACCTAGATTGAAATACACTTAATAGTAATCATAATCAAGGATCATAAATTTACCCTTAAAAATTCCATTATTCATTGAGCACTCTTAACACTTGATGTTTCATAGTTTGTAAATTCATTCATTGTTACAATTAGTATTTTTACACATTTTAGTAATACCAGTTTTATGGACATTTTTTCATATTTTTGTAACAGTCTAGAAAAATTAATTTTAGACTCTTCTGGGACTTTTCTTACACATTTCTGTGTCTGAGCTGCTTTGGAAAGTAAGTTTTATGATAAGTTTAATAACAATATACATGATAAACATATTCTTAGAAAAATAAAAGTTCTTCATCCTAGGAATTACTGAGTAATTCCTTTAGAAAAAACAGCATATGTAGTTCAATAAGCTGAGAAACTGAGGAAGGGAGAAATGCTCAGATGAAAAAGCGAACGAAGACAGTGAAAGAAACATAGAAAACTAACAAAGAAACGAACTGAAAGAAAACAAAAGGGTGACTGAGAGACATTATTTCTTGATTAAAAACTTGAATATTTAAGAAAGTAAGAAAGATGACTCAAATACATCATTCTAGGAAAACCTGACCAAGCCATTTAAATGGTTGAATATTCAAAATACACTGTTGCATTTATCTTCAAACATCACAAATGAGAAAATTAGAAAGCTAAATTTAATTCTTAGTCACAAAAAAGGGTGCCAGGAAAGTAGTTTTGGAAATGTATTCTGCAAACATAAAACCAGTGGCTGTGTTAGGGATGGAAATTAATTGCAGAACAAAGTAATGTATACAGATAATGCAAGTTTCAACAATTACATCTGACGTATAATGCCACTCAGTTATAATGAGATTTCTCCAATCCTAAAATCATCCCCATTCCTTTTCAGAAATAAACAAAGTTTAAATTTCAAATAAATGATTAAATAAAGAAGACTGCACTTCGAAGTGTAACTACATTACGCTGAAGATTACTTACAGAACATTTATTGATACAGTTCTTAAAGTCTAAAATAGTACAACTTTATATTATATATTCAGTAGTCATAAATATTGTTATATATTCAGAGATCACTGAATTAACCCACTCAGATGTTAGCAAAGATAATGGCGGTGAAATCCGCTGACTATGGTTTAGGAGAAGTCAGCACAGTGTCCAGTCCAGCTGCTTTACGAGATCACATTTTCTCAGGGTGACAAATTTTATATCTTTCTAACTAATGGCATCTATGAGAGCCTACAGCTTCCAGATTACTAAAAATTACGATTTAGACCATTGGAATCTATCTTCCATTTACGCACAAAAACATACAAAATTTAAAAAATGTGAAAATATAAAAGGTCAAAACTAATTTCTTAAACTTAAATAGAAATAATAGAACTACAAGCCATATTTTCATGAATCCACATGAATGTAACTACCATTACATAGTTTCCCCTATGAGATACCCGAAAATAGAAGTAAAGGTTTTAACTTAACTAGCCCTTTCTGGACTCTGCTAATTCCATCAATACAGAATTAAAACAATTGACAAAGCTATTAAATAAATTTTGTTAATAAAATAAACTATATTATATTACATCACATCATTATTACAGTACTGTTATCTAAAAACTTAATTCTATATGCAAAACCAGTACTGTTGACATTATCTTTTTACACAACTTTCCTTTCATCTTACCAGTTATTGCTTATAAGGAATTATAAACTTACTGCTTATAGAGAGTTACAGAGTTTGTATGGTAAGCCCATGGCAGCAAATGAGTGCTAAGTGGCTGCCTAGGTCACCCCACAGCGCCCAGATAGTGGCGGGAAGCTTGGGGGGCTGTAGTCTCCCACTGCAAAGCCTTCATCAGGACCATCCATGAAACATTCCTAACAAATATACACTTGTATTATTTACTACCACTGATGTTTTCCCCATCTCACATTTAGCATAAATAAAAATGTCTTTAGAATGCTATGTTGTTTTACTTCTATTAATTTTTAACATACATCAAAGTAAAGAACGTTTCTTTGCTATATAAATACAGTTACAAAGTAAGGGCCACAGTCCCCCTTATTATAACTAGATTTCCTCTCGCCAGGCCCCCCCACTGCGAAATTCTTGAGCCCATAGTGACATCAGGGCAATTTCAGAAAACTAGACTTGCAAGGCAATAGATTTTTAAAATCCTGAGAATGAGTTTAAGTATGAAAGGAAAATAGGTAACCCCTTTTTCTGCAATGAAACATATTTTTTATAAGCATAACATAAGAAAGAACCACAATAGTTCTATGGTAATCCTGGAATACTTTTGTCCAAAAGAAATAACCTAGAGAAGTATCTGGAGGGTCATTTTTTCTTTTTATAAAAGATTACATACAGGTTTTCTTTTCCCAACCCTATACAAAAAATCTCTTTTATTAATTACTACTTATTAAGTTCCAACTACAGGATAGGCGCATCGTATATTAAAAGAGTACTAGGATGGCTTCTAAATCACAGACATCCTACTTACAAAATTTGCTGTTGACACACAGCTGGAAGGAATAATAAATAAATTGGATAACAAAATCAAGATTGAAAAGATCTCAGACGACTAGAACCATAAGTAGAAAATAATAAGATGAAAATGAATGAGGATAAACAAAGTTCTGTATTTAAGTTCAAAATATCAATTACAGATGTACAGGATGAGGAGAGGCTAACTTAAAAACAACATATGAAAAAGATCTAGAAATTTTAATTGATCATGAACTTGATTGGAGCCAACAATGTTAAGGTCCAGCTCAGAAATCAGCACGAAAAGCAATGATGTGATGGGAAAGGCACCAGATTTGCAGTCAAAACACCTGGCTTCTAATGCTGGCTCCATCATTTATTAACTAGAGGATGTTGGATAAACAGAACTTCTCACTTATCCACATATGTATCTCACAAAACTGTCAGGATTAAATGACATTAAAAATATGAAAGGGTTATATAAACTCAAGAGATCTACGTAGATACTATGCAGTTATTACTATAATATCATATATGAAGACAGTATTTCTACAGAGTGAGAAATCTGTTGAATTAGATTTCTCAAGACCAGGCCAACTCTAAAATGATTCTAGGAATGCAGCTCAAAAAATGAGCTTACAATCAGCGTCTTCATTTTAGTTATTGAAACAATACAAGCTACATTGGCTTGTATTTATAACTTAAAAGAGAATGCTTTCCCTTTGTTCATAAAAGTTGAATTTTTCTGCACAAGATTAGTGGCTACATAGAATTGAGATTACTTCCTGTTGCAAATCTTCCAAATCTCCCTGTGTATTTGATTTGGAATCACAAATAAGCAAAACAATTCCCTCTTGAAAGTGCTTTTGAAGTACTAAACAACTAAGAATAATGTCCAGATTCATACATGGCTGTTAAAACCATTTTATGTTCAAGTCACATGAGAGAAAAGGATTGCAAGTTTTCCTTTGTAGAGTGATTTCCCCCCTTTGGAAAGATTTCTATCCACAGTAAAATTGCAATGAACTTCAAACTTGCCAAGAATTGGAGAAGTCCCTTTGCCACAAGCTCTTTTTAAATTGAAATTATTAGTAGGTTCCCAGTTGGAGGAAAATAGTACTTCACATAGGAAAGCCTGACTCCAGTTAAAACGAATGAGTCAAAATATTGAAAAGTTGCAGACACTCTCAGAGTATTAACAAAAGTAAAGTTCTAAGCCATTATACTGATAAGTAGATCAACAAGTTTGAAAAAGGAAATTATTCTTAACATACCTTTTAAATATGTAACTAAAAATAAATACTCTAAATATATCTTTTTGTTCTTACATTATCACATTTTCAAAAGAACAGATTTGCTACCCTTACGGCATATGAATTTATAAATACAGCAAATGATCCATTTATTCATCAGTGACATTTCATTTACTCTGCTAAATAGAAGATAATATTTGCAACCTAAGTAGAAGCATTGTCTTTTTATGACTCCTCACTATAATTACTATACCTTATTTACTCTTTAGGAACAGCATAAACTTTGAAGTCTTTTTTTTTTTAATTATTTATTTATTTTTAGAGAGGCAAGGCAGGGAGATAGAGAGAGAGAAACATCAATGTGCGGTTGCTGGGGGTTATGGCCTGCAACCCAGGCATGTACCCTTGCTGGGAATCGAACCTGCGACACTTTGATTCACAGCCCGCACTCAATCCACTGAGCTACGTCAGCCAGGGCAAACTTTGAAGTCTTACACCTGAATACAAACCCTTGCTGTGTTACTTAACTAGCTGTATGGTCTGGAAAATGATGACTTCTAGGGTTGAGCAAGGATTAATTAGGATGAAGGATACAAAACGTCCAGTACAGCAGCTGACACTTAGTAGATACTCAATATCCCAAGCTCATTACTTCAGCCAAAACAAATTCAATTTCTAATTGAATTTCTAGTTCAGTCTAATACAAAAATCCCATCTTCATGCTAATGAAAAATGCTCCTCAATCCCTTAAAGTCTTTGCCTAATGTCACCTTCTCAAGGGGACCTGTAATGATCATGCTGTTTAAAACCAAATCACATACAAAGGAACACAGTCTCCTTATTCTGCTCCCCAGCTTTATTTCACTCCATAACACTGATAACCCCCCAACACACTGTATAAGTACCGGATTTTTTGGACCACAAGACACACCAAGATTTTAGAGGAGGAAAATGGGGGGAAAATTTTTGAAGCAAAAAATGTGGTAAAATATTTAATAACATAAATAACAATATTTTACCAATGTAAATATAAACAGAACTCAACAGCAGCATTAACAACCATTATTCCTCCCAAATTGGGTGGGAGGGGTGGAAAGTGTGTCTAATAGTCCAAAAACTGCGGGTAACTTGCTTGTTTTGTTTATTGCCTGCCTCTCCCAACTAAAAGGCAAAGCTCCATGAAGGAAACCCTTACTTCGGC